ATCGATTCGCCATCGAGCGCGCGAATCACCATGCTGCGCGGGACTGCACGCGACGGTGTGTCGGTGGTGCGATCGCGGGGCAGTGACCGTCACAGAGCTTTATCGATTCTTGTTTTGACCGTTAATCCTGTTTCCGCGTCTTCTAATGTTTTTGTGCAAAGATTAGGCTTGAGATTATGCTGAAATAAAATGTCGGCTCCTAATATTGCGTATGGTACTTGAGCGATGAGATAAATACAACGGATTGGTCGGCGGAGTCCGAGGTCCAGTGACATTATGCGTTCGCCGAAAGTTTTAATATGCGTACCGTTGGCGGCGTATAATGTGCCTTTCACGAATTTGAGAAAGTCTGAAGGACATGATGGGACGACCAAAATATTCGCTCCCTTATCTATCAGGAAACGAAGTCCGGAAACTCGGTCCGTAATGAAAAGTCGATGAAACAATCGCTGCCGTCTGTTGCCGCCGAATTCAACAACGGCTGAATTAGTTTTCCGTCGTTTGCTTGATTTGCTTTTGTTCGACCAATTATGCATGATTTCGTGCATTTCTTGGCCTTTTCTCTAAAACGGCGGTAGTAGAAATATATAGTCGGTTTGTTGATTGGCTGCGTGTGAAATCCTTAAATGATTCTCTGCGATTTCGAATGTGAGCGAGAGCGTGACCGCGATTCCGACTCGAAACACGCTTGAATTTGATTTAACCGGTTTGTGATTTGTGCTAGTTGATCGATAATGCTATAATCTGACTGTTTCATACTTGCTATCTCTCGGTTGTATTCCAGCAGCCGATTATTTTATCTGCCACCGCTGCCAGAATGTTAACGTCCCCGGAAACTATTTGTAAAGTCATGCGTACGTCGTTAAGCAGGTATTCGAGAAAAAGTGTTTTAAGATCTTCGTCGTCGAATCTTTCGTGACCAGCGAGCGATCGCATTTCTGCGAGCAGCCTTGAAGATTTTTTATCTGTAATTGTTAGTCCCGATAGTAGTTAACTCTTGTCCTCGCGTAAGAGAATAATGCTCGATTAGTAACGTTTTGAGTGACGCATAGGGTACATTCCTTTATGCAGTCATTACCGCAGATGTTCGTTTATTCCGTCTGCGAAAGTGACTGCAGTGCAGTTCGTCGTTCGTTTATGCAGGGATGTATCTCATCTGTGCAGCTATCTCGGAAGTCCTGCTCTGCTTGCAATACTGCGTAATACCAAAATGAATTTTATTAAAATAAGAAACGAAAAGAGTCAGAACAAAAGAGTCAAACAAATAATTGATCCAAGTAAAAAGAATAATAAAATATAATTAAAATAAAAATAAAATAAAATAAAAAATAAGAAAAAATAATAAAATATGAATAAAATAAAAAAAATAAGGAAAAATAAAAAAAATAAGAATAATAAAATATAATTCACAAAAAATTAATATCTAATTTTTAAATAAAATTCATAGATTAAATATTTTTTATAATATTCATTATTTATATCAATTAAATTTAATATCAATAAGATATTACCTTTTATACAATAAAAAAGTTTTATTACATTTTAATTACTCAAATATAAATTTCTGTATAAAATTTTATTCTGTATAAAATTGTCTCTTTATTTATCATTCAAACAATCGGCTCAATTTCTATTGGAAGGTACGATCCGTGCAGTTATTCAATTATCTGTTCCTTTATGCAATCATTACCGCAGATGTTCGTTTACTCCGTCTGCGAAAGTGCAGTTCGTCATTCATTTATGCAGTATCTCATCTGTGCAGCTATCTCGGCTAAATTTCAATCACGTGACAGGCAGAGAGAAAGCAGTGGCTGCATAAAACATTGCGTAAACGAATACCTATAACGATTCGAAGAAAGTAGTCCCGCGATTGCATTGCATCGCAAACGTCATCATTTAAGTTAGCTACTAGCGCGGTGAATTTGTCTGCCTCAGAAGTGTTCCATTCTAAAAACTCGCATTCCACAATTTCGAACCATGCGCATACATTAGTACCGGGCTTAAACTTTCGTAATTTTACTTTATAATCGCTGCGGTCTTGATGTCCATTTGGATTTGGCGCCGTGAACGGAAAATATGAAGGTTCGTACGGTACCTGCGTATTAGAAAATCTTAACGGAATTATTCGTATTCCCGATGTCGACGCTTCTTGCTCTCTCTCGATGGAATGGCGGGAACGTTTTCGCATTCTTTTACTTGTTCAACATGGCTGCCGTCTTCCCACTCTATGAGGCTGGTTTCTACTCGCTTCGGGCCCTGCTCTTCTTCGTTGGGCTGTTGGTGTCGATGGCCGTTGTCAGCTTTCGGCTAATGCATCATACTCATGCTTTTTATCGGAATCTCAGCGGGCTTGTACGAAAAACCATAAAGTGCGCCTATCGTCCATAGGTAAATGCGCGGTGACGCACTTCCGCGACGATGCATTTCCGCGATATATGAATCGGATCGTGGTACGACACGAGTAATGTACGACACGAGCAATACACGACATAAGCACTGTATGATACGAACGCTGCACTGAGCGACACGGGCATATACTAAAGCGATCTGCATTGGGTGGTAATATCTTTAACATCGCTGTTTTTTTACGAAGTCCTTGTCACTTAAACTCTTTATTATTGTCGAGCCTCCGCTCGGCAATTTGTAGAAATCACGTCGGGGTAACCAATTTGTGGAGAGCTGCCGGGGAGATGCTGCCGATGAGGAGGATAAATAATTCCGACGAGTTAACTGAACAAAGAACTTTATTATATAAAAGTATGACTCTCTTTGAAAGATATCGTGATACAATTGAATATCATAGGTGCGTATTCTTAAAATGTTATCTTTTGTGTAACTAGACTAAAAGTGTAGAAAGAGTGTAAAAGGTGTAATTGCATGACACTTAAATCCACACTACACAACAAAAGATGAGACTGGTGGTGGAGTGCAAACTAAAAATAAATTGTAGGTTTCGTCTCATATATACATGTAATCTTTTCAATATCGAAATTTGAAATAAATATTAAATGATAATTAGATGATTAAATAAGTATGTAAAATTAATGAAAATAAATTTAAAATTAATGAA